ATTCCATTGCACATGTATGCTGCATCTTTTTTACCCATTCATCTATTGATGTGCACTCAGGATGCTCCCACCTCTTGGCCATTGAAAATAGTGCTGCTATTAATAGCACAGTGAATGTATCTTTTTGAATTAATGCTTTTGTTTTTCTCTGATATATACCCAGGAGTGGAACTGCTGGGTCACATGGTGCTTCTATTTTTAGGCTTTTGAGAAACCTCCATGTTGTTTTCCATGGTGGCTGCACCAATTTGCATTCCCACCAACAGTGTACAAGGGTTCCCTTTTCTCCACATTCTTGCCAACATTTGTTATTTGTGTTCTTTTTGATGCTGGCCATTCTGACAGGTGTGAGACGGTGTCTCATTATGATTTTGATTTGCATTTTCCTGGTATTAGTGATGTTGAGCAACTTTTCATGTTCCTGTTGGCCATCAGTATTCCCTCTTTTGGAAAAATGTCTATTCAGTTCTTTTGCCCGTATTTTAAATGCATTGTTTGTTTGCTTTTTAATTGAAGTACAGTTGATTAAAAAAATAATAATACCTACTTTTGGGATTGCTGTGAGGAGTAAATGAGATAATATATAAACAACCAACCACAAAAACCTAGCCCATTAAAAAATTCAAAGATCTTTTTTCTCATTAGGCCCTTAAGACCTGTTGGTTTATGATAATTAGAGAGAAAAAGGAAGACACCTCCATTAACCACTTTTCAAAGGAAGTTATCCAACTAAAAATTGGGGAAAACATAGAATATATTCTGCCTGTATCTTAATAATGCTACAAGTGAATTTAATTTTCTACTTTAACTTATAGTAAGTCAGTAAGCATAACATCTGACACAGGGCCACAGATACTTACTGCTGATAACTTTGGATAATTACTTTAGAACTTCCTGAGTTTCACTTCTTTTGTAGAACGGGGAAGCACTTTTAAGTCCCCACTTAGTAACACCCCAGGCCTTGGGGCTAAGTTTGGCCCTGTAATTATACATTGAGACTCAATGGATCTGAGACTCTCCAAACTCCAAGCAGTTGACAAGCCAACAAGAGACAGCCCTCTCATCAAAGAGTAGAAACTACGTTTCTCCCACAACTTCATTTTTAACTCTTTTTCTTCAATCCTCAAGTTTGTGATGGGAGGCTCCCAAGCTCCCAGAAAAAGCTGGCTGAATTATCTAAGCTTTAAATATTTGAGCGGACAGGTCAGGACAACAGGTGGTGTGGGTAAGGGCAGCTACATAAGCCTAAAGAAAATGAGTCATCCGGCTAACCCTCGGCCTGCTCCCCTCACCAGGGTTTACATGGCTGCTCTGAGCCACACTCTGTGAACCGACCTGCAGCGCCTCTACCTCCTGCAGCCAGTCTCTGGCTCTCTGCACCGAGTCTCTCAGAGCCACGCCGCTGGGCAGGTACGCCGGGATCTCCTCGATCTCCTTAACCACTGCAGCAAGGCTGCTCAATGAATGCCGAGGCCTGTAGCAACAAAACAGTATGTTCAGCATTTTACATGATGGTTCTTTTCTTACAGTTTACCGGAGAAACTAGAAAAATCACTTCAAAGGAAAGTCAAAAGAGTAAATGAATTTTTCCAAATGGCAAATAACTACTAGGTATCAAATTATCTAGTTCAAATGGCCGCATAAGACTTAAGCAAATGACTCAGTGAAGCATTTAAGTTCTACTTATTCCTGATTTGACACTGGAATAACCATAAACTTCCATTTGCAGAAAGTAACTAACTTAAGAGATAAACTATTACACTGTCAAGATTCGTACAGTTTCACTTAGAAAATTAAAAATCTCTAGAATATCAGTATACCTAAGCACAAACCCCAAAAATGTACTCTCTGCTCAATGACCACTTTTTCAGGATCACAAAATAATGTCTACAACCTAGATATTTCTCATACTTTATCTTGTCAATTGAACCAAAAAAGATCTGCCAGACAGAAAGCAGAATTAGGGAAGCATTCCTCCTCTCCCCTCAGAGGTCAGCCCAAGGCCAACACATCTCTCAAAACCAGATAAAAGTCACCAACAAGCACCGATGCTAGGAACTATCGACACCGTACCTGTTCTACGGCACAGTGCATGCTGGCTCACAGATGTTCTCTTCAGGACTCCCTGGGATCTCGTTTACTAGGTTTGGGTTTAAACTGTGGACAGTGCCACTTATTTCTAAGTGTTTTCTTTTCTTAAAAATACTATCAGTGAAGTCTAGGGAAATTTCATTAAACCAGCTCTGTAAAAGCCATGTCCAACCATTCATTTCATAGTCAGTAAAGCAAGAAAAAAATTAGTATTCTTTTGCCCAAGTTCCAAAACAGCCACAAATATCTCAGCTATTTTAACATGCACAACTCAGCTTCCCCATGTGTCAGAGGCCAATCCCCGTGCTCTGTGCCCAGTCTTCCCCCAGGGGAGAGGCACAGCTGTGCTTGTTTACCTGGCCTTCAGGAGACTCCTGGCCTTATCATCCCAGTGCTCTGACACCGTAAGCAGTTCCTGAAGCCGTGCCATAGCCTTCTCCACGGCCGAGTATGGGGCCAGACCCACCCCCAGGTCTATGAGACGTCTCATATCATCCAAGGTGAGGGAGCTGGGGTCGAGGCAAGCTCGCTGCACCTCCTCTAGCCAATGGGCCTGCTCCAACCGGACACGCATCTCTGCCAGCTGTGGGAGTTCAACATCAAACTCAAAGCTGACGTCCAGCAAGTCCTGCAACTCAGCAGCACTGGGCATCTCCTCAGAGAGCAGTTTCTGGCTGTGCTGCTGGAAATCTTCTACACGATTCAGGAGATCCTAAAAAAAACACAGCTTGCTGCATCAAAACAGTAATTTCAGTAATTGGCTTCTTGCATACTTAGAATCTTCAGTGCATATTCAATGTGACCCTCCTTCCATCTCACTTGATTTTATCAACAATATAGGTAAATGAGGTATGTAATACGTAAGCCAAATGACACTAAAACAAGTGACATTTAACTGAGACCTTGTATTAACTGAGAAGTAGCTGGTGGTGGTCACTTTCACAGTAAAAGTGTCCAACCTTTTCTCTCCTTTGCAGGCTTGTTGTAATCTCTTTATACACACAGATCACTCAATGTGTTAGTAAAACATTTGCAAATAAATGTACAAATTAACCACCCAAGACGACGATTTCATCATGTCAACTGACTTTATTCACAAAATACAGGATGACCAGAGCACCCCAGTCACCTTCAGCAGTGGCGTCTGACTGAGAACACACGGGAGGGCGTACAGCTGTGACACGAACTGTCGGAGCTCATTCACTGTCAACTGATTGTGGGACTTGCCTCCACCAGATCGGTATCTACAGAGACAAAGGCCCAAAGAGGCCATGTAAGCACACACACACACCCACCATTCCCAGACTCCATCGTCATGGAAAAACCAGCCGCAACAGGCCTCCAAGGAGTCCAAACCCCAAGTATGCGAATGCCCACCTCGTCTGCCTTTTGCCATTAAGCAGCTGCTGTGCGACAGAGGCACACTTCTCTGCATCTTGCGTGACTAATCGGAGGTGACGCAAAAGATCGTTGTCCGGGAATTTCTTCATCTCAGATTCTTCAATCAAAGCCTTAAAGCTGACAAGGCCTAGGAAACAGAAAAAGTCATCTTTCTGTGATCATTATGTATTAAATCTGTGTATTAGATACAGAGGGGCAGTTCACTTTTATCAGTTCTTATTTGTAGATATTTGCAATGTCTTACCTCTTTAATAGATTTGTTCCTTTGATTTGGGGGGGGCGGGGGGGGGGGGAGCCTGAGAGTGGAGTGATTTAAAAAGTGCCTAGAGTTGCCCTTCGACATGGGACTGTTTAAGAGACAAAGAATACTCGACTTGTCAAAACGGACCAAATGCAGATCTTGCTGTGGCTGGAACCACTTCTTCCTCCTGTGCTGTGCTCTACAGTTGGCAGGGAGCTAGTGGGCTTGGGGATGGTGACACTGCACCCTCCCCTAAACAAGAGAGGGGAGTCACCTATTGGGCTATAGGAAGGAAAGCAAATGAAAACATTCTGAAAGAGGTGGGAAGGGAAGAAGTGCCTTTCAAAGGAAGTAGCAAGAGACAGAAACTACAGTTAGAACTAAAAAGTAATAAAGCAGCATTTCATACTCTTAATTAAATGACATGCTGCCTTTGTCATGAGATATGATTCAAAAAACCCACACAAACAAAAGACCAAAACAAAAACAAAAACTCTTCTAAAGTTCCATATAAAATGTGAAATACTTTAGTTTCTGAGACAGAGGTGTAAAGCTGCTTCTGTTTTGTCCTGGTGTGATCTCTGGCAGCACTCAAACATCAAGACTTCACGTATCTTCCTCACCCACTCTTGGCTTTACAGCCTCTGCTAATGCTCTAAGCCTGGCTGGACAGATGGGCTAACACCTAGGACAAAGTCAGGTTGTTTCAAGTAATACACTTGCTGATAACTTTAAGTTGGCTGCATTACAAGTAGTCCCAAAGTGCCAATCACCAAGTCACACTTTCTATATACTACATACTTTTCTTCTTATTGATCTTTGCCTCCAAAGCTTCATTCACATTCAAGGCCCATTCATTGTAAGATTCTGCTCGAAGCTTCAATGCATTCATCATAGGGTAAAGATCATCCAGCGTGTATCTGTACCTGGAAACAGAACAGCAAACTTAGCTTTGAGGTACGTGGGTTTGGAGGAGATTAGATGTTTTGGTCTGGGGAGGAGGGAATCAATTAGGTTTATTTATTTATAACAGAGGTACTGGGGAGGTGCCAGGGATTGAACCCAAGACCTCATGCATGCTAAGCATGCGCTCTACCACTGAGCTATACCCTCCCCTTGAGGAAATCAGATGTTTTATCAATGTTGCTGAGCTTACATTAAAGGATTTAGTGTTTACCATAGGAAAAAAATCATTCTTCCTACTCACCGCAATTTATACTTATAAGGAGAACAGGAACATAATTCTTTTACATGATGCAGGCAAACAAGCAGGCCAGGTTTACAAGAACAGGAGATGGCAGACATGAAGCACGTGGTTTTGCATTTCACACACTGACGCTCATCATCTGGCAACAGCTCAAAATCCATTCTTTCTGAATCAATTACTCCCTAGAACAAAGTGTACTTCAGAGGTCTCCAAAGGATAATATAATCCACCAGCCCCCAAGACAAACACACAATAGTTGAGTTTAATTTTAAAAAAGCCTTACCAAAACAGAGAGTGAGTGATTAAAAATGTGTGGACCTGGCAAATGTAGCCAAGTTAATCTACTCACTTGTCTAGGGAGAACCCCTTCTGGACAAGGCAGGTCTTTATGTTTGGCCATTTTGGTCTGAGTATGAAAACAGTTATTAATAGGCCTATAAAAAACTACTGAGATTAGCTGTTTACTCTACTCCAAATTGGCCCTGTCCATATTCTGGGTATAGAAAAAAAGCAAGGAAAACGCATATACTTTCTACTTGAGAGGAAATACTATATGGGGCTTCAGAGTAATGCTGTTGGAGAATTCATAAAAAGAACAAAAATAAAAAGAAGGTTGGGCAAGTGGAAAAGACTATCCTGCAAGAACTGCTGCGGGTGAGGGATGCTGAGTGGTCTGCTAGCCTCGTACATGGAAAGTTACCTAAAGGGATGCTGTTATCTGAAAGGGTGAGACAATCTGTGCAACACAGACTGAAATTCTAATAAGGCATTTCTTAACTGAAAGGGTGTCAAGAGAAATGAGGTCTTGAACCAGTAGATTCCAACTGAAGTTTGTACCACCTGACATCTGGCCCTTCTAGGATACACCTTTGTTATGGAAAGATCAAACTTGTACCACCTTCTCTCCTCATCAGGAACTGGATCCAAATCTAATCTTGAGAATGCCAGAACCTGATTAAGTCAGTTTATAGACTATCGAGCTCCTTTGTTTTACTCTTTTATTCTGCGTATCAACATTTTGACCATTTCACTTCCTGCTAATTATAATGGACCAGCAAACACACAGGCAAGTAAGGAATGCTAATGAATAAATTTTGGCTTTAATCTGGAACTGATTATTAAAAAGGACTTCATGATGGAGATGGCTAAAATTTTGTTTACAATAAAATTAAGGATCAACTCCATGGATTTTAGTTGAGAATGAATCATATATTTAATCCAATTTTAATTTGTAAATTTCTACAACTGGAAAAAAAAACTATGAGCTCTCAAAATTCCAAAACAAAGCTACTATTACTGATGGAAGACTTTGGTAAGACACTCAAACCCTCTGGGCATTGTTTCCCCAACTGTAAAATGTGAGGGGAGGTGAGTACACTGTTGTTGAGCCACAGTGGGCTCAGGAGCCCACATTCTAAAGAAGCACATCAAAAAAAAAAAAGTGACTCTATTCGTGGATATGACTGTCCCAAAAGAATCTACAAAAAAAGCTACTAGAACTACTGAGTTTAGCAAGGTTGCAGGATACAAAGTCAGTAACTGAAAATCAACTGTATTTTTAAATACTAGCAATAAACAAATGGAAATTGAAAAAATTTTAAATTACCATTTATAATAGTACCAAAAATATATGAAATACATCATCATAAATATGTATAAAATAAATATGTATAAAATCTATATGCTGCAATCTACAAAATACTGAATGAAAGAAATCAAGAAGACCTAAATGAATCAGGGGATATACTGCGTCCATGGACTGGAATACTCAGTATCATTAAGATATCAATCCTCCCCTAAACTATCCATAGGTTTAAAGCAGTTCCAATCAAAATCCCAACAGGTTTTTTGGTAGAAATCATTAAGCTCAACTGTATATGGGAAAGCAAAGGAATTAAAATAGGCAAAACAATTTTTAAAAGGAACAAAGTTGGAGAGCTCACACTACTTCAAAACTTATTAGAAAGTTACAGTAATCAAGATCATATGGTATTAGCAAGAGGATAAATGCACAGACTAACAGACTAGGACAGAGTCCAGAAACAGCTCCACACGTGTGATTAATTTTCGACAAAGGTGCCAGGGCAATTCAATGGAAAAAGGAGAGTCTTTTCAAGAAATGGTGCTAGAACAATTAGCCCTATGCAAAAACAGTCATCTCAACCCACACCTTACCATTAAAAAAAAAATTACTTGAAAGCATTAAAGACTTAAATGTAAAACCTAAAACTAGAAATTATAGATGACTACACACGAGAAGACCTTTGTGACCTTGGTTAGGCAAAGATTTCTTAAGAAAGACAAACCAAAAAGATTCATGACAGAAAAAACTGATAAACTGAACTTCATCAAAATGAGAAACTTCTGCTATTTAAAAGACATTGCTAAGAGAATGAAAAGACAAGCCACTAAATGGAAGAAAATGTTTGCAGAACACTTATCTGATAAAGGACCGGTGTCTAGAATAAACAGAAATCTCACAACAATCCAATTAAAGAAGGGTAGGGCAAAACATCTGAACAGACACTTCACCAAAGAGAAACATACACAGGTAGCAAATAAATACATGATAAGATGATCAATACATCATTAGCCATTATAGAGAAATGGAAATTAAAAGCACAATGAGACATCAATATACATCTATCAGAATGATCTTAAAGGAAATCAGACGAAGAAAAGTCTCCTTAAAATGGTATCAAGGTGCGTAAGAACTTTACTAAGTAATATCCAATGACACACAGCTGGGGTTCCGAAAACCTTACCAATTTTCGGACAGTTTCTCTTAAAGCCTTCTCATCCTCAATCATAATTGCCATGTCCTTCTGAACAGTTGAAGCCACCACGACATCCAGCACGTCCGCCTTGGAAGCCATCTTGCAAATCATCTCGTCGTGGGAGAACACGCAGTAGCGGTGCAGCAGGCGGTAGTGCTCCACGCACTGTCGGCCCAAGGGCAGCTGCACCAGAGGACAGGAGGACACATGACATTCACCTCTCCCCTTCCTGCTTCCAGACATTCTGACCTTTACTACCAGGTCACCAAGTAGCATATCCTGGGTCACCACCCATGTCATAGACCAATCTTAAAACTAGACCCTAAAAGACCTCAGATCTTTTAAAATCTTTACATCTCAAAGATCTGGTATATTAGGTGTCTTAATTAAGAAGTGGTTTAACAACCCAATATATTAACAATGTATTAATGTCTACAACAATGTGGAATCTAATTAGAAATACAAATTTACATATATCCTCAAACAACTGTATTGAACTGGTGTTGTACCTACTTCAGGGAACAATGCTGCTCTAAAAACTATACAACTGAAAATAACTATACAGGAAGTGCTATTAAGAACAGCACTTATGCTCTACACTGGAATTTGACACAACATTGTAAAATGACTATAACTCAATAAAAAAAAAAAGTTAAAATAAAAAAAGAACCAGCCCAACAAATGACTATATCACAAATTGTTATTTTTCAAAAATAATTAAGCATAATCAGTCACACTGCTCTCATTTGAATATTATAATTCATTTTGTAAGGGCAAAAATATTTTTATATTTCTAATAATTAAAAAACAGTAATTTAAAATATTTTATCCCATATTTTTGGATTTCTGTTTTTGTAAATACTTTATAATGTGTATAATGTATTGGTACAGTGAAACATCTATATACTTTAAACTGCTGTGTTGTGGATAATTTAAGCATGCGCTGCATAAAGTATAGTCTTAAGACTGAAACTGTTTATCAGTCTGCAATGAGATACAAAACATAAATCAACAGCCTCTTATCCGTGGGTCCTGGTTCATGATGTGGGGGTCAGTGCCTTCTCTTGTTGTGGAAGGCACACAACTGGCAGACCTGCCATTTGAGCAGCAATTGGTTTAAACAACTACACACATGACAGTTTATAAAGCATTATATACCATTTCTGCAGGAAAAACAATAAACGTGAAAAGGCTCACTAAGTCATAATTACGTACCCAGTCAACAGTGCAGAAGTTAACGGCCTCAGCAAAATTAAAACCTTGATTGAAACCGCTGTGGTAGGCTCTTGGAAACGTAATCACAAACTCCCCAGCACACTGATTAGTTCGGTAAACCTAAGACAGAAATTGGAGATTTTTAGTAAGATTCTCACAAAGGATAATCTGGACATAGACTATCAGATGATTCTCCAGAAAAGGGAGCTTTCTGCCAATTCAGTGTGAGCCAGGAAAAAAAATATGGCTGAATACCATCCAGAGATACTCCCTTCTGCCACAAGGTGGAGTGGTGCCCCCTACTTCCAGGGTTGATCAGCATCTCGGCAGAAAACACAGCTTATGCTACAGAAATCTGGCTTACATCCAGGATTTCTAAATATAGTTACAACCAAGAATATACTAATATTATTACATCACAACAGGATCACTTACCACCAGTTAAAGAAATTCCAGTCTATTCCAAGGATCTCATTTCATACATAACTCTTCTTGTTTGGACCTCAAACTTACCTCAAACTTACCTCCCACTTTTTACTCCCCTTTACCCACTACTACCCTCACACCCGAAACACATCAATGCTGCTCCATGGACAAAATCCTCAGACTAAACTAATTACTACATAATCGTAATATTAGACATCTTTTCAACATGTATCTCTCCATCAGTGGTTCTCCAAAATGCAGTTCCCAGACCAACAGGAACAATAACAATCTGGAACTCACTGGAAATGCAAATTCTCAAGCACCATCCAGGCCAAAAGGACGTGAAACTCCAGGGTGAGTTTCTGTCATGCCCTTCCAGGTGAGAAGACCACTAGCCACGTGAGCATAGTCCCTCCTATCAGGATGACCTGCTCCTTCCCCAGCTCTTGGCCACACACGTGCTCTGTCAGAGCTCCAAGTCCTTGTCCAAATGCCATTATGAGCCCTTTCTGATTCTCTGCAGTTAATGGGTCAGCATCTAAGTTGACACCACCCTTCCATTATCTGTGTAAGTGTTGTCTTCCCCCTTAAACTTGAGTCCCTGAATGCATGGGCTCACCCATCTACCTCCAGCATCTAGCCCCACGTGGTTTCCTCAATTACTGAAGAACAGGGCAGAGTCTCACGTAAAGCCAGCGACTCCTAACAAGTCAGAAAGGCTCCTCAGCGTGAGAGGGGACATCAATACAGTGAACACCAAGGAGGTGGTGGTGATACTTGGTGGTTTTGGTTACTGGTCCTTATTTTCTAAACTTTGGTCTGTGAAAAATTTATGATCCCTCAAAGAAAGTCCTCTCCATCTGCCCCTGATTTATTATCCTGTGAACCCAAAAGCATAAAATGTAGGTCACAAGATCAAGAATTTCCTTTAACACTGTGAATGTATCCTCTACATTTGGTTTAGCTAACATGGACTCTTCAGCTTCATACATCTCCAACTGGCCTCCCAAAATGTCTTCAGATTATCCTCCAAAAGGAAGTCAGTACGCAAAAATGTCACTTTGTAGAGAAACCTCAGAGGAAAAAGCACCAACAGCACCTTTTAATCTAGTCTGGGAACCCTGAAATCCAAGCTCAAGACCTTGAAATAAATTTTCTTTTTGGGGGGGTGGGGTATGTATGTGTGTATGTTTGTATGTATGCAGAGGTACTGGGGATAAAACCCAGGACCTGGTGCATACCAAGCACACACTCTATCACTGAGCTATACCCTCCCCACAAACTTCCTCTTAAAATAAGCTTAATTAGAGATGGGGGAAAGGGTGATGTAACTAAGATCCACCAAACATCTCACGTCAGCTCACCATTCAAAAATCAAGATAAAGTAGATTCAATAAATTATTTCTAAAGTAGGGACAGAACACGAAGGATTCTGACACTGAAGAGTTTAATTATAACAGAACCTACCCATTTTCACGGTAAACAAATTTATACTAACACTTATTTTTTAAAGTTTTTGTTTTGTTGCACAGAAGGAATGACATTATAAATAAAAATTATAGTTTAGAAATAGTTACTAACAGTGATGACTGCACAACCTGTGACAAACTCACAGTAACTGAACCAGACACCAGCAGGGGGAGAGAGAAAGCACTGCTCTCACTACTGCGAAGTACGGCTGCTCGGGAATCCAGTCATTAGCTGCAACAAATCAGCTTTTACGGCATCTGAGGGTCCGGTCCCCCGGCTCAATGTAGTACTGTACCAAATGACAGCAAACAGCCGTTTCTACGCATAACCACACATCAGCTTCATAAAAGAGTGAGCAACAGAGAAGAAGGGAAGTGGGGAGCTAAGCTAAGCCTGGGTGGCAGGATTGACCCAAAACATACTGGCACTTGATGAGTCATCAGGGTATTGGGGTTCATGATCGTGACGAGCTGGTGGAGGAGGTCGGGCTGGGAGATGAAGAGCTCCGGGGCCAGCCTCTTCATCACTGTCTCCAGCTGCTCGGCGGCGTACCCTGGGACTCCATACCAGGTCTTCGGCTCACCCCTGAGATAGATGGTAAAAGTAGGTCAACCTCAAAAAGCATGTAAGCATGAAACTTCAGTAGCCTCTTCAACTCATACACAAAATCAATCAGCAAATAGTAATGTAAACAAGATAGCTGACCAGTTCGTTTTTCAGACCCTGCTTTGTAAGACAACATTCAAACTGAAGAAGTATCACCAAAAATGTGTCCTGAACATATGCAACACATTTTCCCTCTTCAAGTACAAAGTTTACATGGGACTCCCCATCTATCCTCCCTCCCACTATAGTGAACCTTCAGGAAATGCAGACGGTTACAATTTCTGAGAATGTAAGGGTTTCCTACAGCAACTGACGAGGGGTGGCAGCTCTCCTCTTCCCTTCCCAGGTCCACTCCCAAAGATGAGATTAAATCAGACTCTGGTAAGGCCATTAGCATCTGTACAGAGCTCTTATTCTTCAAAGAACTTTAAACTGTTAACCAATTAATCTGTGACACATCCCTATGAGGTGTGGTAAACACAACCTTCACTTCACAGCTGGGAGCAACTAACTGCCTCGGGAAGTAGAACCAACGCTCTACACAGACACTACAACGCCAACTCCCTCTCTCCTGTGGTACCTCGTCAGAATCCTTGTGTGGGGACTTAAATGAGTTACAGATCTTCAAGTATTTCTGTACTTAGAAAAGCGGGCTTGGGGTGGGGATAGGTGTGCGCGTGCGTGTGTGCAGGAAACAGACGTGAAAGAAGAAATGGCTTTGGTTGAAGAGTTTAAAAAGTAAAAAGTCCAAATATGTCTCCCTCCCTCCCCCGCCACACACATACGGACGAGGCCCACTCTACTACGCACAGTGATGCCAGCATTAGTCACAATGTCAGGAGCCACGGGCCCAAGGACCAGGAGGAACTACAGGGCCCACACTCCACCCTCACCCAAAGGGCTATCTGAGCTGCCACTGCCATCAAACAGGAATGGGGTTTCCACAGTGAAAGCAACACTCTGTGCTGTCTAATATTCCTGTGATTAAATAAAAGACTTGACAACTGGAGAAAAGCTGTCTTCTCCCCAGCAGCATGTATGTTACACTTGAAAAATTGTGAGCAACTTTAGGGTTTCATGGGTTTCCTAAGGATTTTTAAGAATCTTTGTCTTAACTTGTTAAGAGGCTTATTCTAACAGTAGTAAAAGAGAAAAACAACAACAACAAAAAAAACCTAAGAAAAAAAATAGCTCCTTACTCTTCACACACAGTTAAGAGTTAAGACACATCAGAGATGGAAAGGTAAGTTTTCCGACCCAGCTTGCAGTGTTTGCAGGTTGTGTGGAAGTTCTCACCAGTGCAGGTAGTTGATGGAATAGCTCCAGTGGTCTTCAATGTGCCAGCAGAAGGAAGAAAAGCACATTCCCACGTACAACCAAGGGAGTTTCATGCCGCATATGTCAGCAGTAATGTGAGCAAGGACAGACTGCTCCATCACTGGCATGTTGTTCAAATTCCAGCCACTATCAAGATATTCCTGAAAATACGGAGATAAAGTATAAACGTTTATTAGCTCTATTATGCTAACATTTTGGAATTCAGATTGTTTCAAAAAGCTGACTGAAAACAGTCTCCTTCAAAATCAAAAAAAAAAATGGGGAGGGAGGAGAAGCCACTACAAGTACTTCTTGGATGTCCACAAATTACTTCTGTCCAGCTTTGAGCTTTATATAAATGGACTCAGGCATTATGTTTGCCTCTTTGGTGGGGGGCTGGCGGGGTGCTACAGAAGAGTACACACAGCATGACTCCATTTCTCAAGTTCAAAAATAGGCAAACTGAACAATGAAAATCAGAAAGGGACAGTTAAAAAAAAAATCCCTTCTAAAATCACACCCCCAAAAAATAAAACTTAGGAATAAACCTGACCAAAGAGGTGAAAGACTTATATGCTGAGAACTATAAAACAGTGATAAAGAAAACATCAGAGAAATGGAAAGCTATCCCACGATCCTGGATTGAAAGAATTTAATATCGTTAAAGTGGACTTTTACTTCCATTTCCGTACTTCCCAAAGCAATCTACAGATTTCATGCAATCCCATCACATTACACACGACATTCTTCAAAGACCTGGAACAAATAACACCAAAATCTACATGGAATCACAGAAGACCCAGAACTGCCAAAGCAATCCTGAGGAAAAAGAGTAAAGCTTGAGTGATAACCCTCCCAGACTCCAGACAACACTACAGAGCTACAGTACTCAAAACAGCATGGTATTGGTACAAAAACAGACATAGGGATCAATGGAACAGAACAGAGAGCCCAGAAATAAACCTACACACCTACAGTCAATTAATCTTTGTCAAAGGAGGCAAGAGTATACAATGCCAAAAAAAAACACAAAACACTACAGTCTCTTTGGCAAGTGGTATTGGGAAAGCTGTACAGCTGCATGTGAATCAGTGAAGCTGAAACACTCCTTCACACCACACACAGACTCAACATGGTTTAAAGACTTTAATACAAAACTCTTGTAAGAAAAACATTCTCTGACATAAATCACAGCAATGTTTCTTAGGTCTCTCAAGACAAAAGAAATAAAAGCAAAAATAAACAAATGGAACCTAATCAAACTTGTAAGCTTTTCACAGCAAAGGAAATGATAAACAAAACAAGACAGCCTATGGACTGGGAGAAAACAGTTGTAAACAATATGAATGACAAGGGCTTAATTTCCAAAATATACAAACAGCTTATACAGCTAAATAACAAAAACAACAACAACAACAAAAAACCCAATCAAAAAATGGAAAGAAGATCTCAATAACCATTTCTCCAATGAAGACATAAGAACGACCAATAAGCACATGAAAAAATGTGCAATATCGCTACATATCAGAGAAATGCAAACCAAAAACTATGATGAGGTTATCACCTCACGCCAGTCAGACTGGCCATCATTAAAAAGTCCATAAACAATAAATGCTGGAGAAGGTGTGAAGAAAAGAGAACCTTCCTACATTGTGGGTGGGAACATAAATTTGTGCAGCCTCTATGGAAAACAGTATAGAGATTCCTTAAAAAAACCTAAAAAAGAGTTGCCATGTGATCCAGCAATCCCACTCCTGGGCATGTATCTGGAGAAAACAATTTGGAAAGACACAAGCACCCCAGTGTTCACAGCAGCACAATATACAACATAGCCAAGACATGGAAGCAGCCTAAATATCCATCAACAGATGACTGGATAAAGAAGCTGTGGTATATACATAAGATGGAGTACTACTCAGCCATAAAGAAGAATGAAATAATGCCATTTACAGCAACATGGATGGACCTAGAGATTGTCATACTAAGCTAAGTCAGACAGAGAAAGACAAGTATCACATGATATCACCTATACATGGAATCTAAAAAATGTTACAAATGAACCTACTTACAAAACAGAAACAGACTCAGAGACACAGAAAACAAATTCATGGTTAGGAGTGGGGGAGGAATAAATTAGGAGTTTGGGATTAGCAGATACAAGCCTTCATGGAAAATAATACGAAAAAGAATATACAGATACGTATGTATAAGTGAATCACTATGTTGTACACCAGATACTAATACAAGATTGTAAATCAATTGTATTTCAATTAAAAAAAAAGAACTAAAAAAAATAGGCTAACAGGGCAATGGAGTTGCAAGTCAGGACAGCTGGTCATCCTGAGAGAGGGGGACAGCGGCTGCCCTGAGACAGGAATGAAGGAGACAGGACAAAAGGGGGGCCCTTCTGGGGTCCTGGTCACACCCTCATCCTATTTCTTGTTCTAGGACTGGTTACATGGTTGTTTTCATTTTGTGGAAATTCATCAAGCTGCATACATATGATTGTGTACTGACTATGTACTCCTCTGTGTGTATGCTAGATTTCAAAAAAGTTTACCCCAAAATATCCCACTTCTTACCACGACAGGAATAGAAACCTCCCTGGGAGTTTGCTAGTATCAAAAATAACAGACTCATAGACACTGAAGTTCAAAGATAAATACGTATGGCCCCGATCTCTAAGACTTTCTTCAGAAGGAGAAACCAAAATTACAGAATCTGAAGGCAAAGGGACGTTAAGTAATTCTCCCATATCATATAGCTGGGACTAGAATTCTTCTGTGGGTTCTTTCTACTTTTCTTGAAATCATCAAAAATCTCGCAATTAAGGATTTGCTGAAGGTCATAAATTTAGTTCAAGTCAACCAAACAGAAGTTCGCTTAATAGTCAAGTCCCAAGCTGCATGTACTTTTTTGTAGTGAGGCTGCTATTAATGCAGTATTACGCCCTCTGGGTCAACAGTAGGCTGAACCATCAGCTTTAAAAGCGCCTCTCCCTCTAAGTGTAAGTGCCTACCTCTTCCTCAGGTGAAAGCTTGACTTTCCCATCTCGGACGGGGAAGCCACTGCCGAACTCCTTTGAAGCGATATCAGCTCCATATTCCACTGTGACATCCTCCTCAATGGTGCTCACCAGTCGCCAAAATTCTTTCTCAACCAGTTCTGTGGGAACCATCTGGAAACAAAACAATGAGGAAGAGAAAAAAATGAATTTTCTCAGACACAAGCTGCTAAGTGACAGGAATCACAGGATAGCAGCCTGAGGAAAGCTGTGTCCACAGTGTCCCACAATTGGCCCCCAGTGGCTCAGACATGAACGTTACCTTCTAAAAGGAATTCTACAAAAGATTAAGAACTGACGAAGAATTCACGTTCCACTGTCAACAACCTGGCCACTACTGTAAACTCAAAGAAAGTGAAATGCTGAGATTTAAGAACTGCAGCGGGGGAGGATATAGCTTAAGTGGTACAGAGCACATGCCTAGCATGCACGAGGCCCTGGGTTCAATCCCCAGTACCTCCATTAAAAAAAATAATAATTAAAAACAAAACAAAACTGCAGATGCTTTTCTGTTTGGAGAAATCTAATACACAACTTGTTGACTGCTGCATAGTAATAATAGCTAGCTGTGCCTGAATGATGCTTTAACCTCTGAGGTGCACTCGAACACATCACCTGAATCCATCCTTTCACTCTCTGCACCAGACCTGGCTGAGGGTGATGTGGGGCAGGCACCCATGATGGAAAGCTGGGGTACGGTGACTCTGCAGGGGCAGCTCTAGAGTAAAGATACCAGGCTGAGTGCTGGGGACCTGGTATTAACCTGATGTGAGGCCAGAGGCCTGTCCCTCCAAGTCCTCATCCTTTAAGCAAAATAAAAAAACCAACCACAGACAGAAGAGGCACCAGGACTGGTTAAGTGAACATATAGGGAAATAAGATGTTAACACATGAGGGGTCAAAAGAACTGAAAATTCAAATGGAATGTAACTTGAATTTAGAAGACTGCTAAATAATAACTTAATGGTTAATGTTAGCGATGTTAGAGGAAAGCAGGTTCACTCATACACTGCTGGACTCCCATAAATGATACAGCTATCAAATGAGGAAAAAAAATGGATGAATACTCTCATCTGACCTCAGTAGTCATCCTAAGAAAATAATACAATTAAAGAGATGCTGACAACATTTCCTGTAGCACTTCGTTAGTAGTGAGAAAAACCACAGCTTAAGTATCCAGAACTATGGAAGGAAATATTTAATTTTGGTGTACTCAATTGATGGACTATTAAATACTGAATAAAGCATGCTTATGCTTCTAAGTGAAAAAAATTTTTAAATGGACTCATCCTGAAGTTTACAGGGCTAATTTCTGATAACATAACAATACATAAATGTGACCCCAATGCACAGCACACTAATTGGCACGTAGGAGTCATTCAATAAATTTCGTGACATATTCATTACGTTTGTTGAGCTGAAAGGACTGCTGGTGATTTCCTTTATTGGTATTCTGTTACTGTTGCTGTATGACTTGTGTCGGAAAGCCATTCTTTAGAGAAATAAACGGAAAACTGAAATTCATTTTAAAGTATTGTGGAATTTTAATACTATGAAACAAATTAAATGTTTCATTGTGCATGATAATGACTACCGGAGATAGGCACCAACTCAAATGTCTTCAGATACACCTTTTCCTCAAAGTTATTAAACTCCTAAATCAAAGCTGTATGTGTGTACATACATGGACTGGCATGTTGAAGTAATCAGATTTGAACGCATCTGCCATTTCCCCAAATGTACGGAGGGTATAGTCCCTGGCTGCCTGCTCAAAGCCGAATGCCTCTTGTGGCTTATTGCACTCCTGTCAAAAAACAAAGAAAGAAAGAAAAAAATATTTACATCTATACACACACACACTTATTTACATTTCATATACATATGTATGAAAAAAGCAGATTACTAAAATTACTTATGCAGTGTGTTTCCATTTGTCTGCACCAATATACATCAAAATATTATGGGCAGTTATCTACGGATTGTGAAATTGTATCTCTACAAATTGTTCAGTTATTTCTTTGCAAAGAGCATGCAATTTTTTTTAAATGAAATTTTAAAAATTGTTGTTATTAAAAATGCTTTTTGCCTCTTAACTCGCCACAGAGCCGTGCAGCTCACTTCCAAGACCGCTTCCTATTCAGGCCCAGTCCGGTCTTTGTCAAGAGCCTCATTATCATCAACTGCTCAATCTATATAACCCAAAGGCAGAGAAAAAAAACTCTAAAGGAAATTTCCTAATGCACCTCTGCTATTACTTCTTACCTGAGCCAGACATTTAGGACACCTCCAGTCTCCCTTGGGAACATCGTGGAGAGGCGGGACCAGGCAGAAGGTGTGGTAACTGTCATCGCACCCATCACACAAGAGGAGCCGGTCCTCATCGCTGCCACTGCCACACAAGAGGCAGACGTACAGGTCCACCTGGAGCACGAAAACCAGCACAGACCAAAAGGACATCAGCTACTGTCTGATTTGGTGAAATTCTAAAAAGGAAATGGATCTGAGACATAATCTACTGTCTCCAACCTGCTTCAAATGCAAATACATTATCCTCTATTAGGGACATTTTAAATACAAATGCTTCACTGTCTAAGAGATTTCTTAAGAGAGCTATCTCACGTATTTCCAACTCTAAAGAGTAATCTTCAAGAGTAGAGAGGATTTCTCAACTGTGTGTTTTAATTAAAGTTTGTTACTTCAATATCCCACTTTAGTAGCTTATAGAAAATACTCTTCTAGAAGAATATCATGTTAGGCAATAAATTATCTGCCTACCCGAAAAACAGAACTTATAAAGGAGAAACTCAACTTTGCTATGTTAAAAAGGAAAGGAAACTGTTTAACTAACCACACTGAATTACCACTTTAGGGGGAGGGAAATAGCTCAGTGGTACAGCACATGCTTAGCATGCAAGAGGTCTTGGATTCAATCTCCAGTACTCCACTAATTTAAAATAAAAACTACCACTTTACATTCCAAATAAAGAGTCATAGTTAAGATCCCCAAATACAGTGATAAAAAATACTGTCATTATCTGTCATGGGTTGAACTGTATTTCCCTCAAATTCGTATGTTGAAGTCCTAACCTCCAGTACCATGGAATGTGACTATTTGGAGACAGGGTCTTAAAAAAGAGAAAGCTAAGGTAAAAAGAAGTCATATGGGTGGGCCCACTATGACTGGTGTCCTTACAAGAGGAGACCAGGACATACACACACACACACAGGAAAACCATATGGAGACCCCAGGAGATGACAACCATCTACTAGCCAAGGACAGAGGCCTCAGGGAAAAGTAACACCTTGATCTCATTTGTTGCATCTCATTGCAACACTTTGATCTCAAACTTGTATCTTTCAGAATTGTGGAAAAATTAATTTCTGCTGTTTGAGCCACTCAGTCTGTGGCACCTCATCATGTCACCCTGAGCAGACTAACCCATTATCCAGTGACAGAAAGGACGAATGCAACTGACTAGGGAATCCCACTTTTTCAGCCTTTTTCTTGCAGCAAATAAAAACCTGGGCCCTGCTAGTTTTCTGTCTGCTTTGTTTGTCTGTGTGTTTGGGGGGGGGCAGGCGGAGATATTTAGGAAGAGAACATTTAAATTCCAAGTTCAAAAGCACTGTTGTCAAACCACTGCCAGGTGCTCAGAAGGGGGACTGAGAAAGAGAACCCCACTTTAAGTTTCCATCTGCATTAACAGTCCCTCCCAGGCCTCCAACTCTGCTAAATCCTCACCTCCTATCCCCCAACTCCTTTCCTTTTCCTTCCTGGCTGGAAAGTTGGAAAACATCAACTTGATTTCCAATCTACTTTCAGCTCACTTGTAAGTGGGCTAGTATTGTATGAACAATTCTATCCAGGATCAAGTGTGCACCAGTATTTGGTGCTGAACTGAATGTCCTCCAGAAAAATGGCTGTCAACGCCCCCAATTGTTACTGCCATCTTCATGACGCATCATATGTTTCCCAGTATGTATCAGTACTACACAAACAAACCACCCTGAAAGGTCTTTCCAGGGTCTCTCAATCAGCAGCCCTAAGTAAGGCACAAAGTATCAACTGGGCAGTAAAAGTGTTTAAGGAAGTCAGCTCACAGCATTGGTGGTTTTCTTAGCTCGACTCTTGGGTTTTTCCTTCTCACTTTCTATAACATACTCTTTCTTCTCAATGGGTTCTTGCTTGACGCTGCTTTTCATGTCTTTCTCTGTAAGAGGCAGTCCAGATTAGTGTCTTCTCTATTATGCTTTCTTCGGCTCCACCCCCCTCCACCTCCCTCCCAACACACACTGGACACAGTTTCCTGCTGTTTCTCATTGCAGCAGCAGCAGCACCCAGCACTACTACGTCAGTGCTGATTACTTTGTGAAAAAGTGCAAACTATCACAGCATTCAAATCTGAAGATGCGAGCAGCTCTGCAGATGTTGCTCAGATCTGTATGCTTTTAAAATAGGAGCTGAAGATATGGTCTTAAGACCTAACTATTAAACAATAAGGTCCTACTGTATAGCACAGGGAACTATATTCGATACCTTGTAATGGCCTATAACGAAAAAGAATATGAACATACATAAGTGAATCACTACGCTGTACACCAGAAACCAATACAACATTGTAAATTGACTACACTTCAACTTAAAAAAAAAAAAAAGGAACAGGGTTGAAGGTATAGCTCGGTAGCAGAGTACGTGCTTAGCATGCATGAGGTCCTGGGTTCAATTCCCAGTACTTCCATTAAAAAAAAGTAAGTAAATAAATAAATAAGCCTAATTACCTCCCTTCTTCAAAACATAAATAAAAATTTAAAAAACAAAGTGAATAAATCTTTGGGGGGAAAAAAAAAAGAATACAACCTATACTGATGAGAACAAATCCTTCCTGGCCCTGACGATGAGACTGACAGTTCTCCAACAGCGCCTCCTCCACAGTATGGGCCGTGCGCCTCCATGATCTAAGATTACCAACCCCTCTAACTTCCTGGTTCCAAAGGCTGAGAATCTGGGCTACAACACTAGCTATCAACTGATAAGCTATCCTGTGGTAGGTAGGTACTGTGCTAAATGCTTTCCATCAATTATTTTTTAATCCTTTGCAACAACTCTGCTGCAAAGACAAGAAAATTGACATTAAAAGAAGTCAAGAAATACCTCTAAGGTCACACAACTAGTTAGTGGTTGAGCCAGGGTTCAGATCTGCATTTTTAAAAATCCATCTACTTTCTACTATATTGTACTGCCTTTCCACTAACTCACCAATCACTAAGAAAAGCCAATTTTAGTAACTTGTTCATTACTATGTGCCTGCTTATACAGAATTTCTCTCAAGAGAGTGCCAAACCTACCTCTCAGTGACTGACATCAAGCAGTATCCAGACAAGTATCTTGTCAACTAAAACTCAGATGTGGAAAGCATGTCTGCCCGCCAAGCCTGAAACAAACCTATCAGATTGTACAAAGGCACCTCACAAATCACTTCTTCACAATTAATGCTACGGAACAGAATTTCTAAATAGTAACTGAGAAATTCAATCATATTTCTAACATGCATATATTCATCTGTTTCTTTCTCCTACCAGTCACTTACTTATGAGAACAGGATATTGATATATTAAGATTTTATTTCTCAAGGCCCAATCCAGTAACTAGTATGTAAGAGTTGCTCCAATGTTTTCTTAATTAACAGATACATGACTGTTTTTATTTATTTACTCTTTACTGCCTTCCTATTCGTAGATGAACTTTCTTACCATTTTCACACTTTGGAGGCGGACATCCCATTCGACGTCTCAGGTTATGAGTTCTGGCTTCTGTTGTCTCTTCTGGTTCTATTTTAATATTCATGGCCTTAAAAAAAATTGTCATATACATGATTATTTCCTTTAAAAAGAAAGAAATCTTCTAAAATCCAACTGGAACCTCAGGGTGACTATATTCTTACAAAATATCTCTAATCAATAGGACATTGAAAACATACTTCCCTTTCCCCTTAGAGGAGGGATCCCACCCTTAATATTACTACTTAAGGAAGGGACGAGGAATCTTAGCAGTTACGAGTATTTTCCACTTCAACAGGTCAAAAAATAGGGAACCGACAAAGGACAAGGAATGACTCAGGGGAAGTGTCACCACCTGGATTAGGAACAGCCCTTACTTCCTCCCAGCAGCAGCTTCTCAGTTTCTCATCGACTCACCCCTTACACTTTATTCAGGCATCACTGAAACAAATCCTAAACAGTTATAGAAATATTATAATTTAATCAGCCCGTAAGAGTTTGCTGGCTTCTTCTGAAGTTTGACAGTATTCAAAGGAAACTCTGCTTAATTATCTTAGCAAACTGTTACTGCAAACTACTCTTCTGACATTGCTGGGATACGGCTCCCTTCCCACTGAGGGTGCACGACCAGTCTCACGCCCCGCTCTCCACTGAAGTGCTGACACTGACTGGCAAAGCAAAGCCCTGTCTGCTCTGCAACCTGGAGGTGAAGCTATGGAACAGCACTCATCCCTCTGCCCAAGCTCATCCTCGCACATTCAGGACGCCCACTGCTGGCACAGCTTCTTCCAGGCCAACACTGTCACCATGATGTGCCATCAAGACAGACCGAGGTATCCACAGCACTACACATGTCTTACACTTTAAATTTAGAGTTCAAGGTGTGCTCAAATAAGAACTGATTTTTAAAACTACGAAACGAACATGTATATGTATATGCATGACTGGGATATCATTGTGCTGTACACTAGAAACTGACACACTGTAACTGATGGCACTTTCAATTTAAAAAAAAAGAACTGATTTTTAGACGAATAAACTTTAAGCCTGCTTGTAGGCTTCAAATAATCCTATTTTCCTATTCTGAGGCAGTCTCAATTCAGAAAAATGGAGTCACTAAATTTTTCACATCTCCAACTTACCTAAGTGAAAAACAATTCCCTTGTTAACCCATTTCCCCAGAAACCAAAACCGCCAATTTTTTTCATCCTCACCAATAATTACTAAATAACCAAAGATTGTTTAGATGCCAAACTAATGACACAAGGCTTCCCAGCTCTAAACGGTTCCTAATACATTAATCACCGACTGACTGCTATTAAGCCAGGCAGGAACCCCAAACCATCACACCTCTGTGTGGGAACAAAGTAACTGGGAAAATACTCTCCTCCCTTAGCAGGAGAAACCTCTTAGTGCAGAAAGATCTTAAAGCAAGTTGTCTTTCTTACTAGTCTCTCACTCCTCCTATCTCATACATCTTCTGTATATTAAATCCCCTGCCCCCTTGCTGCCTAATTATTTTCTGTCTTAACATAAATGTTTGCCATAGATGCCACACTCCTCTTCAGGAAGTCTAAGAAAAACAGCTTCACTAGCTTGTTTCTAACCTCTCTGTTAAAAAAATATATATATTTCTTTTCAGCAAAAATCTCCCAACATCACACCTCCCAGCCATACTCCCCAATGAACACTGCCCAGCTTCGTGAGGCCGACCAAATACTATCCCAATGAACATCTAGTCTTCCGAAGGCCTGACCATTAAATCAGCAGCTGGCTGTCCAGGAAGCATAAACCTGGCAGAGTTTGATTCCTTGCCCCTCTGACAGTACAATCCCCCCAAGTGTAAAAGCCAGAATACACACCGCACCCCTCTGTGGGGTTACTGAAGTTCATGCTGTAAAGAGCACGTGCATGAGAGAAATCCAGTGTCAGACAGACATTAGCTCTGGGGCTCGAGAACTCTCTGATCCACCTCCCGAGGCTCTCACCTCCGCTCTCATGCGTTTTGCTCGCCGGGCTGGGGGACACATTTCCGAGGGCTGCACAGACTGCCTCTGGGGAATATCATGGGGTTTGTACTCCTTGTCCTTGGTGTCTGTGGTCAGATTTGGCTTCTGCAGACACTGGAAATAAAACACAATTGTACTGATGAATTTCCCTCCTTTTTGACTTTAAGAGAACTGTACCAGATTTTTTCGGAGTGTATTTTGTAATTATTTATGGAAATACTTAAAAGGCCTGCAATCTTTAAAATCTAAATAAACACAAAGTCCATAGCTACCAATCACACACACACACAGGTGCAATGGCTTGAATTCTTCTCAGCAGGTGAACAGTGCTGCTTTGACTCATTTAACTGTCAATGTCACCAGGTCACAACAGACCACAGCAGGCTTGGGCACTCCCTAGGAGCCAGCTGCAATTATCCCTGCTTGTAAATGTCAATTAATTGAAGGCCCAAATTGTTAGAAAGGCCCCCTTGTATGTTCCCAAAACAGCTTTCCATAATCCTGTAGGTTTGAGCATAACAAGCAACCATCTGTTATTAAAAAGGTATCATTTGAATTGAGAAAACAGGTCATTTAACTATTCTCCCTAATTAGGGCTTTCCTTCACTTTAATATATTCCTAAAAAGTCTAACTCACAAAGCACAGGTTAATGGGCCCACAGCAGTAATTTGGCGGTTCTGATCATACAAGAGTCTCTTTTTTCTTTGATTTCTCTTTAGTTTGATTATAAGCTCACTGAAAAAGGATATTTAATGCCATTACAACAAAGTTAATACCACTGAATCAAATATGAATTTCAAGTAAATACTACTCCTTTATAAAAAGACCTACAAACATCACAAGAAGCATTTTTGAAAGCAAGTTTCAAATCATAACCACACAGTCTCTTTTATCATCTACACTTGGATGAGACACACCGGAATAATAACCTTCTAGAACCCTCAGCTCTGTGGCACCATTACTACCACACAGTCTCACCAACAAGACTGGCTCCTTCCTCTGCAGAAAGAATCCAGAGAATGGGGGAAAGGACAAAAGAAAACACAAAGAAACCACCTAACGAAATCTATTACTAACATTTAAGAAATACTATGTACTATTAAAAATACTATTACAGGGGAGGGTACAGCTCAAGTGGTAGAGCACATGCTTAGCATTCACAAGGTTCTAGGTTCAATCCCCAGTACTCCCTCTAAAAACAAACAAATAAATAAATAAACCTAATTACCTCCCCCCACCCAAAAAAAAAAAGAAAAAATATTGTACATCAACTATACTTTAATTTTTAAAATGATACTGTAAAGTAAATAAAAAAAAATTATAAAGAAACAAAAAAAAAACAATGACATGTTAAGCAGGAGAAAAGTAGGATGTAACATTGTGTATAAGGAATACAGTTCCAATTTGTATGCATGTGTGCCCAAAAATAGCCTTGAAAGAAGAAACAGGTGAGAGGATTAGGAGTGATTTTATTTTCATCATAATTTTTTTTTCAGACTTCCAATGATGCACATGTGTCAGTACCTAGAACACACCTGCACACAGCAGACCCCTCACCAGGCGTCTGTGTTGTAGGCGCAATGTTTGTCAAGAGTGTCTTTAAATACCTAACCCTTTCAGACTATGACGTATAAAAATGCTCAGGTGCTTTTCAACTATGAAATCACAGGCCTCTCTAAGTATATGGGTGAGATGTTTCTAAAATGCTGCAACCCGTAAAGCAGGCAGACTCCTTCCCTCATTCATCTGAGACAGGAAAGTTAAAAGGAGAAAATCTACTGTGGGCGACTGTATCTACATCTGACTACAAAACAGAGGCGTAGAGGTTCCACATACAATGTTCTAAACAATTTCATCCATGGGTTCAGTAAATATTCACACAATATACTTTTTTTAAAAAACCTAACAACCTTCTCAATATTAGATTGGTCACATTCTTCTAGGCTGAAAAGAAAGTCCACCTGGAATCAAGAAGGGAGAAAGAAAAAAAAAATACAATGCTATGAAAATCTATAGGACTTAAGTGCTACAGATGACATTTGTACATGAAGACAGAGGTGTATTTAGCAGTTTACACTCTAAAACTATGTTACTATCTTCCTACCTTTCTACAGCACAGCAACAATTCTTAAAATTATAGGGGTCATTGCTCTAGTGCAGAGTAACTCAAAGGGTGTAAACAATTATGACATTCTTTTTTCTACCAGGGCCTAGAATAAGCAGAAAGTTTTTATAATACTGTTTTGCATGTAATTAAAACAAAAGTTTTATCTCAATAATTTTGCAAATACCATCTCTGTAAGGAAACAAACATGGTTACACAGGAACTATTACAAGAGGGATCCGTTTAGCTATCCAGCATTACCAAGGCCCCTCCTCTCTACCAATACCAACATTCTCTCTGAAAATCAAGTTGGAGATCTCAGCTGGCAAGAGAGCGGGCAGGCAAGTTGTTTCACTTGTTGTACTTTCATGTGACAACCAGGAATATATTTTAAATAGTAAGTGAATTCAAAAGTAGATAATAACTAATAACAAGTAGATAATGACTAACTGCTCATTGTGAGAAAGGGCCATCTGTACTGAAGCAGATTTTAGCTTCTGACAACAAGAGTATTTCCTCTACAACCTTATTCATTCCAAAGACAAGCTTCTTGGTATGGGTGCTCTCAAAACAGAACAGAAATGTTGGAGGAAAAAATCCATAAAACAAAAGTCTTCTAAACAATGTTTTCCACACATACATAATCAAGGCCTTTTCACTCCCCCAAGAAACCATGAACTCATAAACAGGAAAATAAAGCAGGTTAAGGCCAGCCCCGACACTCACCCTCAGACTGTCTCCAGACAAGAATAAGTTGTAGGGGTTGAGAATTCGCTCATAGTGCCCTCTGATGTGTGAGCCCACAGCTTTGCCCGGAGCAAACCCCATCTTGGTAGCAATTTTGGTCCATTTTCTATCCTTGCAAACAACTGCAAATCCACCTTCCTCTGCAACTAACTGTTAAATAAAACAGCAAAAGAAATTAGAAACACCTACATGGAAGTCACTTCTAATACCCTATGCCTAGGTATGACTCCAAGAACAAAATGTTCTTGGCTGTGGTCACCTTTTAAAAATACACTTTCCAAATCAAAAGAAAATATAGATGCACAATTAATTTTAAACTATAAATTTAAAACATTGCTTTTGACAGCATAGTCCATGAACATTTCATACCGCTCCAAAAGCTACATCTCAGTTCCCTAAAGGGAGGTTCCCCTCAGTAAAGATTTTCCATGAGAACGAACTAAACTAACAATGAAATCTCTAATAAAGAAAGGGTCCGAACACTTGGTTCAACAAAATGACCTTTAAAAATCGCCACAAACTAAGAAGTAGGAAGAATGGTAGCATGTCTAGTAAAAAGAACACAGGCTTTAAATGAACTTTCAAGTATAGAATTATAGCTCAGTCTCTTCAGCTTGGTCAGTTTGGACACTGGAAGCCTCTGTTGTCTTATCTGTAATAAAATAGAAAGGCGTATCTAATAGGACTGTTACCAAGTTTTCAAATGACCAAAAGAAACGGTGGCAGCAAAGTATTTCACAAGACAAGGCTATCAGACCTCATAAGCAGCCACCAATTACGCACTAAACTGAAAGAAGAATTTCATTTTACGTATTTCAAACACCAAGTTTCTTTTTAAAGCAAAGATCAAATTCATGCTGTCAGAAAATTATTAAGCGAGAACGAGGGTCATTGGGCTTTTACCTTATTAAGCTGGAACAAGTCCAAGATCTTCCTCTCCACGTGTGGAATTTTCAGGGTACTTCCCTGTAATTCCCAGTACTTTGCAATCTGGTCCAAGAAATTTAATTTTACACGAGTTTGAGCCTAAATGACAAAGAATTGAGTTTTAATCTCACCTAGCTTATTATAAAGCTCCCATCTATTACCTATGAATGCAGTATTTTCATTCTTAGAATATTTAACTGCAATACCATTTATGAATTCAAACAGAGAAACTGCCCCCAAAATATACAGATTTGTTAAATAATTATACGTTAACCCAAGAGAAATTTAATTCAGCCCTTACCATGTACCAGGCAAGTAGTAGTTAAAAACACTCAGTTAGCCCCCCTCCCTGGACCCCATAAGCAGGCAGTCTGAAAGGTGCATCATTTAAAGAGTATTATATGTAAGTGTCCCTTTGGTCTTTTTACAATTTGGGTATTTTAAAGGCCTGTTCTCTCCAAGTACAAATTTTCTTATTTCCTCAAACACAAATCTAAAAACAGGTTTATAATAGTAATTCTGTATCAATTTTAATAAGTCCTGATAACCTAAAGATAACAGAAAACCAGAAACTTTCTCAAATGTTATTCCTTTAACAGATTACTGTCACCTACAAGTTATTTTTTTAATTTTCTTTTTTCTTTCCCTTCCTTGTAAAATGTAAGTCAGATAGTTTTAAGAGTTTCATGTTGCACAAGACCAAAATTGAGATAAATATTCAGATATTCCCAACCACATCAAAGTTAATACCCATCTCCCTATCTTTCGAGCTCAACATGAAAACACAGTGAAATACTTGAAAACACATGTACTAGGATGCTACTAGTCCCAACTTCCACAGAATTCTAGTGGCTATATGTTCCATTTAAGTTAAGAATGTTTGCTTTAGCACAGAAAAACAAAACATGGCTCAATACAAAAACGAGATGAGCAAAACACTCATGTAAACACTGTACCTTCATACCACCAACATCCAAGCCTTACTCACCCTGCATGCAGTTTAGGACTTAAGTCACCCAGGGACTAAAAAAGAAACACTACCTCTTCCCTAGGGAATCCCCTGTACTCCTCACTCCTCCTTGGGAAAGTAAAGTGTGTTACTAAATCCAACTGAAAACATGCATTTTGCATACTAGAACTGGGGAATTTTTTCCACTAAATGGTTCTGAAAGCATCTGCTTTTCAAAACTTAAATTCAATTGGTTGTCACCTAGGTTTAGAAGGATTTAAATGCATTTATTAATTAATAGGCTGACAATTATTGACAAAAATCGGTGTTTTTATTGAAATTGGTTTTGCCGCAAAGGCTTACTGCCATTTGTTTCACTGTGATGATCAGTTACCAGCCACATTTCAGCTTCACTAAAACCACTAGATCTGTGACAGTCACTTCAAAGAAGGACCTCTGGAATACAGGCAACCAGACAGTAGTTAACACATTACCTCCAATTCATTCAGCCTCTGGATACGTGGGGTAAAATGCAGTTTGTCAACATCACATGCAAATGGTGGCTGCCAATCCTAGTGGAGAAGCAAAGGCTTTTATTAGAAAAATTTATAATTCTGACACTTAAAAAATGGTTTTACAGTGAAAACCCTAGTTAAGTAAAGCACATGTTATCTCTAACCAGTCAGAATAGAACATAAGGTAGTAGTAGTTTCTAACCTTTTTCCCACCAGAACAGCAGAACATGTATGATTAACTTTCTCCAAATAAATGGCACATCCTGCACACACCCCTCCTCGCATCCTTTCAACCAGCAATGTCACTGAGCCTCAACCTCCACTGAAAAATAACCAATTTACGCAAGAGACTTTGAATCCTCAATTCCATAAGTACCTCTCATTTTACAAAATAGCTATATTAATATCAAATTATCTACAAACTATATTTTAACATACGTAACCTAGTAACATTAAACTTTATCATAAAGTTGAGGATAAGTTCTTTGGCGGGGGGGGGGGTGACATCCAAAATCAATTTTAAGAATCATCCTTAACATATCTACTGATATAGGATCTTGGAAGAACTGCTAATATAAAGAAACAGACAAGAAGGAGCATGTGTATGAACTGTTGTAAGTAGGAGAAACTGGCAACAAATGTCCACAATAAACGTAGTTAAAGGTATAAAAATTATGCTGTGTTAACAGGTAGAGTTTCAGTTTGGAATAATGAAAAGGTTCTGGAGACAGACAGTGGTGTTTGTACAACATTATAAATGTTACTTAATGTACCCTTAATGTTACTCAGTTGTACCCTTAAATTGGTTACAATGGTATACTTTGTGTTATGTATTAGTTTAATATTTCAACACAATGTTTAAAACGACAAAAAAAAGTATGCTGTTGCATAGCTCTATTTATTGACACTGAAAATTTTCCTCATATATGTTATAGAGGAAAGAAAATCAGGCTCTGCGATAAAAAAAGAAAACACTGGAAGAAAAAAAAACATTGGAAGAAGACAGCAAAAAAGATTAACAGTGGTTTGTCTTTGGGAGGATTATAGGTAACTTTTCTTTTGCTTCCTTATCCATTTTAAATACAATCTGAAACATATTAAATATACTAAATAATGCCTATTAAATAATAAATTATTTCAGACTAAGAGAACAAGTTAATACAAATGCTGGTACATCTGTAAACAGTAACCACATACTCAGCAGCTGGAATAAGGAATATCTAGATGCTCTAAATATGGAAACACAGCCAATACTGGATGAGTAAGAAACTAAAATATGTAAATTTGTGTTAACAGTATTTAACAAAATATGTAGGTTAACAAAAAGATTTTGGTTTTGTGACAGTCTTGAGTGAAAATGCCCACCCTCTAGCAATGCCTGATTAAATATGTTAAAGAGTTGATTAAATTTTACCACAATTTTTTTGAAAATGGAAAAAATGACATTATAAATCAGTACAAAGCTATTTACTACCATCCCCCAAAGAGGAAGAAAAAGAAAAAGGAAAAAGAAAAAATGGCAGTACTGTTTTAAGAAGTCAATTACAGATAAGCCTTCAAGTGTTCAATGCTGTTATACCATCTCTTCAACAAAGACCATGGCTCATGTTTAAATGTCAGTTAGAGATCTACTATATTGCCAATAAACTTAAAAAACACTACCTACTTCATCCTGGGTCAGAAAGATTAAAGTGATTTTGTTTACCTTGATAACTAAAGATAAAGAAATCAATGTGTTTAATTATACAGAACCCAACTCAGCAGAAGGAAATCATACTGCTTAATATCCTACAGCAGGCTAATAGGAAGACTATTGCTCAGAGTTTTGCTAACACTTTATAAATGCTGCAGGCTTTCTGAAATGAAGTGATCTGGGTTGAAGGTTAGACCAAAAATATATCAAAGATAACATGTCAGAATATACAAGTAAATGATTAACATACTGTCCAAGTAATCTGAAATTTTTATAGATTAAGATTTATAGGTAATGTAAAATATCCTCCAATGAATCAAATATGCCTTCTAGCCCCAAAACACAATGATACAGAAGTGGACTCTGAAGTCTGTATACTAAAGTTTTACAAACTAAGGTGAGTTGTGCCTTTGTATGTATGTATGTATGCGTCTGTCTATGTGCGTTGTATATTTACACTTGTTTTAGCCTGAAGATTTTTTCAAATAAAATGAATCCTAAAGGAAAACAGTACACATCTGTCACTAAGAAAGTTCACAGATTGGGTATAATATGTCTAAAACTAAAACTATTTCAGAAGATCATTCCTTCCTGAAACAGATCACTGCAAACTTTGTTTCCCCTTCTGGTTACAAAGAATGAGAGAAAATGGGATAAATGTCATTCAGTTTGAGACTTTCATTGTCAGCTACAAAGCTCTACTTCAATAAAAGAATTACATATTACTGGCAATGCTCACTGTCATATTACAACAAAGATGTCCTTGGCAAAGTCTGGCCTCATTGGGCCATGACTTTTACATATGGAAAAAGCCATCAGAGAAGGAAAGAGCCTCTAAGAAGTGAAAATTTCCAAACAAGAGTCGAATTCTCAAATTAAGGAGTCAAACAATGAAAATCTCCATTTGGAAACATGGTTGTGATTTCTAGTTTGACACTTAAGTCTCTAAAAGGAGTATCGTGTAATCTAACCAAAATTTTTAGCCTCTACTAATACAATGGCTCATAAAATCATTTTTTTCTAACATAAAAACAGCATTTCCAAACCACCTGGGTATGGACTGCAGGAGTTCCATATAATCTCCCTCTTGAAATTCATTTTAATTTCCTTTAAAAACTTTAAAATGGTTTTATTTCAACCCTTTCAAAATAAAAGTACAGCTATATTATTTAAAAGCACAATTATTTTCCTGAGCATTAAAAATATATTCCTTGGGAAGGCAGCTAAGGAGGAAATCAAAGCTTCAAAATCCTCAGAGGCCTGAAAAACATCAAGTAAACATTTTCCTTAGTCCCAACGCTAACCTAGCAACAATAACTTTTAGCACATTTAACTGAGAAAAAATGTCTAAAATGATAAAATTGGCCAGTACAAGAATAACTTTCACAGGGTACTAAAGATTTTTCAAAACACCACGAAAATTTGCCTGTAAATGATCCACTATTAGAACCCACATACTTAATGTATTAGCATACCTGTTTTAATCCTTCTAGAGAATGACACCACTTTGAGATCTAATAATCAGTAAAATAAGAAAGTATACTCTCTACAGGGGCTAGCTACTACGTAAGTTGGTTCTCTGACTCCCTGCAGACAAAACCAATTAAAAAAATCAGTGTCAAAAGCACATTCCAGTTAGTTTACAAAGAATAACATTAATTAAGGTCCAAAGCATTTTTCTAATTGCGTATGTTCTACCAAACCCAGTCATCACTGAATAAATGCACTCACGGGATTTTAATCCAATGCCACCAGAGTTAAACTCAGTGTTCTCAATGCAGATTCTTAAAGTTTATATGTTATCAAAATTAACACAAAACTGTAGTGCAAATTTTAAGAATCCAAAGAATTTATCTTAGCATTTTAAGGCAAGTTAGAAAAGCCTTCTGTTGAGTATATAATTTGTCAACCTTAATAAAGATTTCAGTAACACATATATGAAACACTAAAAGACTACTGTCTCATCAATTTAATGACTTTATGTCAGTACGGCGTCTTTAATGCACCAGCACAAATGCAAGAGGTGATTCGAGGCACCGCATAACCATTGTAAGTCCCCATTTTTAAACTGTAGAACAGAGTTACTATTTATGAACCCCTCGTGGGGTCCAATGCCACTCACAATGACACTAATGGGTGTCTATCAGGAAAGCGCTCTGTAACACAAAGGGCTTCAATTCGGTCTTCCCAACACAAAGTGTGTTAGATACTGCTGCGGCTTCTCCCCTGCTCCTTACTTCCCTCAGGGCAGGCCTGGTACCCAGCAGCTTAATTAGCCACCCATTTGTTCAACGTTTAAAGATCTCCAGTCCTCAGTGAGTCACTGGTAAAAAAAAAAAAAACATTTTGAAGGTTTTCTTTTTTTAGACCAAACCACACTTTTATACCTTAAATCTGAGGCTCAAACTATAAATAGAATTGAATGTATATGGATTTTTCTCGGAAGGTTCACAGTTTTCACCAGGGTCTCAAAGGGGTCTATAACCAGAAAAGGTACTGGCATTCATTAAAAAAAATTTGTGCCTTGGCAGGGGGGAGGGTATAGCTCAGTGGTATAGAGCGTGTGCTTAGCACACATGAAGTCCTGGGTTCAATCCGCAGTTACTTCCATTCAAAAAAACAAAACAAAACACCTAATTACCCCTCCCAAAAAACCCAAAATTTTGTGCCTTCAAGTTCTTATCTCAGTACCCCAACCCACATTCTTTCAATCCCTTCTCCTTTTATTTAATCAAGCACAATAATAACGAATAAGACATTTGTTCCTCAGAATGTCAACAGGCAATTAGGACAGAAAAGAAGAGCAACGCACTGAAAGTCGGAAGACCAGAGTTTGCATTTTGGTTCTTTACCCCTTGAAGAATCCCAACTTTTCCATCGGAAAAGTACAAACAATACCTACCCTTAGGACTAGGGTGAGAACAGAAATTACAAATACAAAGGTTTTTAAAAATTAAAAAGCAAAAATAATAAGTATTACATTACATTCAGTTCTGATCACTGAAATACAATTTTTTTCTAGCAAGAAGTCAAAGCAACCTCAACTTTCAAGGAGCATCTGGCCTCTGATCTCTACCTTTAAGGAACCTACCCTTCCAGACTGACTCCAGTTCATATCTAACTGCCAACTAGCACTTTTCATCACAGTAGTTTCTACATAGGTGAAAGGGCACCCCTAAATATAGCAAATACTTTAGAATAACCATAAACAAATAAAACCTTTAAAAAAGAAAGCAATATTAAAAAGGAAATAACAGTATATTGAGAACAGAAAAGAACTTTTTATTATAACTTGCATCCTGGCTTTTTAAAGATAGTTATATATGTTTTGCATTAAATCCTTCTGTATATTCACTATTTTATA